GATAGAAAGAAACCAGTTAAAGGATAACAAGAAGCAACAATCAGATCCAGAATGTGGGGATTCTTACAAGACAACGTTCTTGGGCTCTCCAGAAAAAGTAAACACTGTGGGCAAAAAGCAGGCAGCAGGGCTGTTCTACAGAAAAGTAAAGTAAGAAAAAAATTCCGAGTATTCCTTCTTCAGAATTTGGAAACTTGTAAATATTTTACAAAGTTATAAAACAAAATAAAACCTAAAATGGCCATTCCTAAAAAATGAAAGAACATAACAACCAGCTACAACACTCCAACCTTTACTGAATCTTGTTTTTTCTGGGAGGTATAACTATAAAAAGTCATTCCTGCAGTAAGAATGTGACAGGCACCAAGTAAGAGATATTGCTACCGAACACTGTTACTTTCTTAGAGCAAACCTGCCATCCTGGACATCTAGGTGATTATCCTTATCTTTGAAGACAAATACTGAAGTGTTTAAACAAGCCTCGCCCTAGCATCAGCCCCAAGAAAGCAGTGAAACTTTGTGCCTAACACACTGCACTGTAGGTTATCAAAACATTTCTTTTGAATTAAAATATCGGGAGCACCAGACAACCCAATCAGACAACACGGCCCCCCTGTGTTCTGTGTGACTGGGCCACTCTCTAAATGGCCTAAACAGCTCACAGTACTATTTTGGGTCACCTCTGTCATGCTATGATTATATGCTAGTCATTTCTAAAAATATCTAAGCCAGTAAATCCTCTACAACTAAGACTCTATGTCATGAATTTTAGAACTAAAAGGAATAAGCAGCCATGCACTAGGTAAACATCAACAAACTAATCATATTCTTATATACTAGCAAAAACATTTTTCAAAAATATTCTTAAAAGGAGAATTTCTAGTTATAATGAACATCAAATATTTTTATATAATCAATAAATGATGTAAGAAGCCTTATAGAAAACTATATACTCCTATTTTATATTGTTAGATAACCTGGTGAAATATCATAAAGATGTCCATAATTCTCAAATTAATCTAGATATCACAATTCTAATCAAAAGTCTAATGCATTTTTGCATCACGACAAAGATTTCTAATACCATTTGTTTAAGACAAGACATTTAAAACAATATTCTGAGAAGAAAGAGCAAAGATGAGGTGTGTAAGTCCTGCCGAACACTCCAGCCAACTATAGCAGGAATCACACAGGTGGCAGTCAGCAAGGGCTCGGATCAACTCCTCTCTCATGTTGCTGACAGCACTGCCTTTCAGAGGGCAACTGGCAAGAATTTTAAAATGCAACGTCTTTGACCAATCACTTCTGCTTTTGAGATTGTACCTGGAGGTACAAATACATATAACATATATAGATATCTTAAAAGAAAACTACAAATCCTTACCTCATATGGCTAGATGGGCAGACAGAGTAGAAAGGGCGTGTAGTTTCACTGAAGGAGGGTTAGGAAGAGGTGTGTTTGCTTATATATTTTTTTAAATAAAGAAATAAACTAAAAACAAAACCAAAAAATGGTTATCTAAAGGTGAACGGACAGAGTGGAGGGGACATGCATGGAAAACATTCTCAGTGTTCCTTATTTAGACTTTGGAAACTTGTAAATATTTTACAAAGCTACAAAACAAAATAAAACCTAAAATGTCAATCCCTAAAAAGGTAAAGTAAACAAATGAGCTAACCAGGTGTCAGGTTAGTGGCATAACCTTACAGAGAAATATTATTTTAAGTGACTTTAAAACATAGTAATTTGATTGTACATCCATAGTGGAATATAAGGGCAAAAAAGGCCAAAAACCCCCTGGAAGAACAAGTAAAACATCACCAGAGATACGTAATCTGCAAAATCCAGACTGTAGAAAACTGTAAGACAAATGACCTGATTTCTTCAACAAATAAATTGCAAAGAAAAAATGAGAAGGAAGGAAGGAGAACCTGGATATTTAGAAACACTTAAGAGATACATGAACCAAATGCAACACACGAACCTTAAACGGGATCCTCATTCAAACAAACTATTGGAGACATTTTTGAAGCAATAAGGAAAATTTGAACAAGAATTGAATATTTGAAGATATTAACAAATTGCTATTAATTTTTATAGATTGATAACAGTTTTGTAATGTTTAAAAAAAAGAGCCCCCATTTTTCATAGATACAAAATGAAATATTTATAGATGAAACATTCTAAAACTTAAGGATATCCACTGAAGTTTTTATATTATATACAACAGTAACAGTGAAATACTATACACACCCCACCTAATGCCCAATAAAAGGAACTAGTTAATAAACAGTCAACAATTCAACAGGCTACTATATAAGCACCAAAATGATGACTTGAAATCATTTTCATGTACTCTAAGTAAAACACTGTAAGTTATACACCAGTATGAACGATAACCTTTTTGAAAAAGGAAGCGTACAAATTAAAAGTTTTACAAGAATCACATACAGTCATTAGGGTAGGACTTGTGAGTTTTTCTTATTGTTCATAATTTATGGATTTTCTAAAATGATTTATTACTTTTTGAACAAAATAAATGCTAACAATTAAAAATTGTAGAAAAACGTACAATCTCCTGTTTTATATCATTTGTTTTTTTTAATTCTTTGTGACTGAGACATTCTTCCTGATGACCAATTCATGTCTGAGTAATCTGCTCATTTATTATAATCTATTTTCCCCAGCTAAACATAGTATCTAAAACATAGACAAACATGCATGACCAAATAACAAAATTTGGACAAGATTCCCACTAAGCAGGGATTCCTGTAAAATGCTCACCATCAAGGTATTTAATAATTAGACTAGCAATTAGAATAGAATTACTCTAATAATTTTATATATATAATAATTCTAATAATAGAACAAGTAGAATAAGAATTAGAATTAAAATTAGAATAGCTGGGGAGAAAGAAGGGCAAGAGGCAAAGGAAGGAGAGGGGAGAGGCAGGGTAAAAGCAAGGAAAGGGAGAAGGGAGAGGAGGAGGAGAAGAGGAGGAGAGAGCGCAAGGAGGGGGAGGAAAGGGCTTCAGTGCAGACTCTGAGGTGCCCACCTGAGTCAGGTTCTGGCCCAGGGTACCTGTATGACCTGGCAAGCTCCCTCACTCATCCCTGCGTCTGTTTCCTAACTTGCAAAATGGAGGAAGCTGTTAAAAGGGTCACTATATGTAAACTGCCTGGAATAGACCTCGGTAAACAGTGTGCAAAAATGTCAGCTATGAAGCGAATCTGACCTTCTCTTCCAGTGGCATGACAAGGACCCCTCCCACTTTGAGCAGATTCTTCATGTACTCTTCATGCTCTTTCTGCACGCCAGCCCCACAGTACACTCGATCGTACTGAGCACAATCAGGAGAAATCTCCAGGCAATTGCCAGTAACAAAGGAAGGCTCACAGAAGTCAAACCTGGAAGTAAAAAATGTTTTCTGTAACTAAAGGTATCACATTGCAACAAGTCTACACAGTAAATCTCTGCTAACCATAGGTTGCGTGTTAACTGTAAAATCCCACAGCAATGTAACAGTTTACAGAGCCAGAAGCTGGAAGCCACCCTTCCAAAAAGAATTACACTACATAAAGAGAACCCAAAAAACTTGAAACAAAACAGTATGAAACTGAATATCATAAACATGATCCAAATTTAAGGCAATCTCCAATAATCATTGTCTTTGCTCTGTTTTCATCATCTTATTCAAGATCTACTATACAACAAGATAAGGGAAAATGGATTGAGTTTTTTAAAAAATTTTAATCCCTAAAATAAGAACTTTAATGTCTTACTTAAAAATGGCAAGAGCTAGTTACATATATTGTTTTGAGACTAATGGAATAATTTTATATTAGAAACAATTAGGTGATAAAAGGTTGTCTACATTGGAAGTATGAAAATTGAGCAAAATGAACATTTTGTTTTCTTCTCTTACTATACTGGTGAGAAACTGCCTTTCTGTAAGGTTCATAGTCACAAAAACCTAAAGTCCTTAAAAACACAGAATATTTTTTGAAAATTAGAACTGCCACATAGGATCACCCTACCAAAGTTTAATCACATTTGAGGCACATGAATACTTATAAAATGATTTCTTCCTATCTGATCAAAAGTTTATTAAATTATAATTCACACCCTCTGACCCAACAGACATAATCTGATCTTACTTGTCGAAGCTTTCGCTTGTTCTGATGAAAAAGTCCAGTTTCTGCTTCGCATACTCTGTCACATCTGAGTGAAGTTCCACCCCATGGTTTACACCAAAAGGACCTAAAAGTTTTGAGAATGAGAAAAGTTTTACAACTTGGGCTCGAAATCTTGCTCATTTATTTTTACTTTATCAATTACAACATGTCTGATTTAGCATGTACAATTACAGAAGTCTCATCACGTTATCCCTAGGCACCACATCGTAAATAGCTTGTTTTGATGCCTGGACTTCTCTGCTCTCGAACTTTTAAAGAATCATTTGAAAAGGGAAAAAAGCCAAGAGTTCAGAGTCTTACTAATGAATTAAAAGAGAAACATGTATTTGCAAGTGAAACTAACACAGGTCTCACCTGTTTGTCCAGAGGTAGCATTTAAGATGACTGTTTTCCCTGAAAGGTCCCCCAGAACACTCAGATGTGGGCATTTTAATAATGCTCACAAAATAGGTTTCAATCATCATTAAAATAAAACTATGATTCTAAGTCACAATGAAACATTTTTTATATCAAAGGAAATTTACCAGTAATTTGAAACAAAACTGTGAGAAACGTGAGGAGCCCATGAACGTGCTCCCTCCACATAAAACTGTCTCTAGGTTAAATCTGGGTGAGCAGAGAACAAACTGTTGACACTCAGTTTAGATGTATCTCCGTGTTGTGGAAACCCATTTCCATGAACATAAAAATCAGGCCAAAACTCAACTGTGCTGATGAAGGGTAAAAGAGTGGTTACCTTTCTGGAAGGGGTCGGGTATGATAGCCTTCTGGGACACTGATTCTACTCTGTGTCTTGTCCTGGGTGGTGACTATAGGGAGGTGGATGCATATGTAAAAACTCACCAAGCTTCATGCTTCACGCTTGTTCATTTACTACAGCTAAGTTATACTTCAATTTTTTACAATCTGCATGTGACAATCAACAGGTCACGTAGGAAAATATTTGGTAGACATAAATACTACAGTCATAGTGTAGCACTCAATCCTACAATCCAACAGAAATACTGGGAGATAAGCAACCTTCCGTGCATCTCACACCTTCACATTTTGCCACCTGGTGTATCTGGTCCCTTCCTAGTACAACAGCCACCACCCCATGCCAAGGCTTCCCTGGCCCCCTTTTGGACAACTGTACCTGCTGCTATTTTCTCTCAACATCTTTGATACACAGAGCTGCTGCTAAAACATCCCCTCATCAAAACACATCCTGCTTAAGAGGTCATATTTTCACTATTTATCACACCAAATCCTAAATTATTCCAAACTTCAAGACCTTCTGCCAACTCACTAACTTCAATTCCCATTACTCTAGCATGGGAGCATTGTGCCAGAGACCAAGAAAACCTGCTTGTTTTTTCCCATTCATCATATTTTCGTTAACCCCTCACCTTCTCTATCGAACACTTATTATATAGTTAATTCTAATAACACATATGGGACATGGTTCCTATTCCCAAGAAGCTTAATACCACACAGTAATAACAAATCCCTCGACCTACCCCCTCAATAAAAAGGTGACTAGCAGGGAGTGTCGGGAAGGCGGCACCCCTGGCAAAGCAGCTCATGTCACGCAGCACTTTCCCGCAGGGTACTCATGAGCTACCATCTCCTAAGTAGCTGCCGTATCCTCTCCTGGCTGATAAGAAACAAAGGAAAGGACAACCCTGAGCAAAGGGAAGAGAAACCCACAGAACAAGCACAGGAACGTGGCTGACCCAGGATACAGTTCAGACCAGGAGAAAGGTGGGGGTCACGGTAAGGACCTCTGCATTAGATGAAAGACTTCAGGCTTTGCATTTGCAGGCACTGGGGGGCCAATGAGGATTTGTTCTGGAATGATTTACACAAAGTGATATTAAGGTTGAATAAACTGGAGCATCTGGACACAAATCACTGTCCAGCCATATGTGCATCCCTGACAGCAAACACTAAAGCCCCTTCCTTCAAAAACATCAAAGCAGCATGTTACATCAACTACAGCAGAAACAGGGCTTTTCTTCCTTCAGATCTCTCCTGCTCTAACGTCCAACGAAATTCCCAGTAAATTAGGGGACTTGGAAAAGAGAAGCAACAGTATCAAGTTGTAAGCCCTTCCTTTATCACTTCTAGGGCAACAGTCTCCAACCTTTTTGGCAGCAGGGACCGGTTTCAAGGAAGACAATTTTACCACAGACCAGCAGGAGTAGGGGGTAACGGGGGGAGGTGGAGCTCAGGCGGTGATGGCAGCCACGGGGAACAGCTGTAAATATGCTCGCCAGCCGCTCCCCTCCTGCTGTGCACATGCCACCACACCCGGCTAATTTTTCTATTTTTTGTAGAGACGACAGGGTCTTGCTATATTGCCTTGGCTGGTCTTCAACTCCTGACCTCAAGCGATCCTCCCACTTCCGTCTCCCAAAGTGCTAGGATTACAGCCGTGAGCCACCACACCCAGCCTGTAGACTTTCTTGATGTTTCTTTCACAACCATAGGCAGTGCATCAGCAGATCCTGTCAGTTCCAACATCAAAAAACACAGACTCCAGCCCCCGTGCACCGGCTTCACCCAGTGCCCCTCGCGTGGCCTGCCATCATGGCGGCCTGGCCTCGCTTCCTCTTCAGAACAATCTTACGGCGTAGATCAGCTCCTGTCCCTCCTGTGGAAAAACCACTCCACCTCACCCAGACTGAAACAGACATCTGTCCCCCACTGTAGCATTTTACATGAAGTGGGACTTCCATAAATCCTCAGTCATTCGCTACTGTTGTTATTTTTTTTTTTGAGACAGAGTCTCACTTTGTTGCCCGGGCTAGAGTGCCATGGCGTCATCCTAGTTCACAGCAACCTCAAACTCCTGGGCTCAAGCGATCCTCCTGCCTCAGCCTCCCGAGTAGCTGGGACTACAGGCATGCGCCACCATGCCCGGCTAATTTTTTCTATATATTTTTAGTTGTCCAATTAATTTCTTTCTAATTTTAGTAGAGACGGGGTCTCGCTCTTGCTCAGGCTGGTTTCGAACTCCTGAGCTCAAACAATCCACCCGCCTCGGCCTCCCAGAGAGCTAGGATTACAGGCGTGAGCCACCGTGCCCGGCCTGCTATTGTTATTAACATAAAAAATAACCATACTCTCATGTACATTCTCATAATTTATTTGTCTGGGAAAATAAGCTGAATGGCTTCAATACGATAAGCTGTGACAGCCAGGTGCGGTGGCTCACACCTGTAATCCCAGCACTTTAGGAGGCTAAGGTGGGAGGATTGGCAGAGGGGATGGCAAGTTCAAGAACAGCATGAGCAAGAGTGAGACCCCATCTCCACAAAAAATGGAAGAACTAGCTGGCTGTGGCAGTGTGCACCTGTAGTCCCAGCTACTCAGGAGGCTGAGGCAGGAGAATGGCTCGAGCCCAGAACTCGGAGGTTGCTGTGGGCTACGATGACGCCACTGCACTCCAGCTGAGCAGCAGAGCAAGACCTTGGGAAATCCCTTCAATCCATGAAATTTATTGAAAAATAAACAATTTACAGGTACTAGCCTTTTAGTATTAAAACAGCAAAACAAACAAAAACTGCCTGGAAGAACTGTACCTCCTGAGGGACTTTAAAGTTAATTATCCTCACTTGAGAGACAGAGTAACAAGGAAGACTGAGTGATTAAATTAAATCAAGAACTCACAGTGAGACTGAGATTTACACAGCTCTCATGGCTCTCCACTGTCGAGAGGGAGAGTACAAACAACAGACTGTGGCGGTGCAGGTGGGAGGAGACAGGGAACAGGAGAGGCCCCTCTGGAGGGCTCAGGGACTGTGAGGTGCGCACGAGCTCCCTTCTTCATCCCTCTACCCACCACCCAGTGACATCCGATGTCAACATCGCGTAACTGCTAAAAGTGTCCACCAGGGCTGGCCATCAGCAGACTGTATTTTCTGCGGAAGGAGACACCTCCACAGATGAGCTTTTAGACTCTCTTCCAGACTTACCCAGAATGAGGCCCACCATAGAGCTGAGGTACCCAGTGCCACTGCCCAGGTTCAGAAACGAGAGTCCAGGCTGCAGATCCAGGGCTTCCATCACCTCCGAGTAGATGCACGGGGCCGAAAGGTGAATGTTTCCATGCTTCCACGCCAAGTCTTTATAAGCATTTTCTTTGAATTCTTCAAGATAATAATCCGCACGGTCGATAGCTCGGAAAGCCTGCTCTACCAGCTCGGTGCGGATATACTGCGCTTCTTTCAAGTTGTCTATCAGCTCGTCGTTGTCCTCGCCAGCGCTCACAGCACCACCCATGGTGTCTGAGATCACACTTGGGCAATACTACAATTAAACATTTTTAAAAGAGCTATTTACATTAAAGGTATGACCAGAACTATAACGGTTCTAAACACATATCAATTTCAAATTCTGAATTCTGAAAATAATACAGATGAAATACCTTTTGTCAACACCCAGATGGACACCCAGAAAAGCCCCCAGACAAGCCAGATTTAGAAAAAGAAAAAAAATCCCAGTTCAATTAGAAATTCAGGTAAATTATACTAAAAAATTATTAATATGTGTCTGAACTTCAAATTTAAGTGGTGTCCTATATTTTATCTGGAACTCTACACCCTTAACATACAAATACCCACCCAAGTCAAGCAATCCATTCAATCTGTGGGTTTGGATACTTTGATAGTCAAATTTTAGGCAAAAACATCACCAAAACTCTCTTCCCAAACGGAATATATTGTGACAAACACCTCGTTTGTAACAAAACAAAATCAGTTTCAAAGCGTAAGAGTAGGAGGGGCTGCTACCAGATCTTCCTACCACCCCTTCTGAAGCCGCGTAGCACTCCCAGCTCTTTAAAAATGAAAAGTACATTTCCTGCCTTCTCCCACTCTGCCTTTGAGAAGAAAAAGTGCAGCACGTGTCCCTCTGAGCCCAACTATTAATACACAATCACCTTCATCTAATTCACAGGAAAATGCTCCTTCATCTGCAGAAGTCTTACTCTTCCTAAAACTATAAAAATATCCTTTTTGATTTTATAATTATCCCATTTTCTAAGTCATTTTTTCTAAGTAATGGCTTTACTGCCACCTGAGACGATAATGCTTTTTAAAATATCTGATATAAATTGGTGGGGGAAAAAAGACCACCAGACCTCACGAAGACTGACACATTTTCTGAATCAGGACAATCTTCATAACAACCTACTATAAGATTATTACTATGAAGTTTTTATACTTGTTTTCCTCCTCCACAATCCTCTAGATTTCTAACAGCAGAATGAGAATCACGAAGAAATATTGAGGGGAGATATTCCATACACACCCACGCACACCACTGGCAATAGTAACGGGACAGGTTTTCCCAGAAGTGAAAGTTAAACAATCACATGAATGAATCATCAGTTTCTTACGACAGGTGGAGAAGGTATGTGAAGGGTATGGCTTAACACAAATTCTCTTCTATTTTACAGTCAAATATTCACAATCGAGATTTTAGAGCTGAATATTAAATTTTTCAAATCACTGGGGTGCTCCAATTACTAAATTTTCACAGCCTTTTAAAGTTGTTTCAGAGCCCTTGTTAGAGTATGGTCCACGGCCAGTTAACTCGGACGGATGGAATTAAGTCCTAATGAGGTCAAGTTTAATCCTGGATATAAATCACTTCGTTTTGAGGCTACACCCCTGATCTAGCTCAGTCACCGTAAAATTTGGGCCACCGGTTAAAAGCGGAGTCATACATATGGATGGTCAGGGTGTATTTAGGAGAAGACCTGGAAATCATGTATCCTGCTCAGTGCTGGGTGAGGAAAGCTACCTCTCCACCCAGAAGCCTGTATACAAAGTTCTATCATTCTATCTCAGTACCATTTTATCTTTAGAAGGAACCTCCAACTGTATATTGGGTACGTTTCATTTTCTACTAAGTAAGTACCACTTATTTTAAACATTGTCTCAATTTGAAAGTTTATACCGTATCAAAAGGAAAGCTTTTTAGTAACAATAGCTACCATATTTGTACAGGTACCACCTGCCAGCCACAGCCTCATTTAAACTTCACAACATAAGGAGGCAAACTGAAGGCGGGCAATGAATTTGCTCATGACCACAAAGCCAGTGCGTGAGGAGGGCTGGATTCAAACCCACGACTGTCTGGCTAGGGGCCTGTGTTCTTTATACCACACCAATGCAGCTTTTAAAAATTCTCAAAAGAGCAACATTTTTTACCACACATGTTGGTAATCTTTTGACTATGGAGTAAGCCTATCTATTACCATTGGGAGGATGCATGCGGCAGAGGTGGGGAACCTGTGGCCTTAAGGCCACGTGTGGCCTTCTAGGTCCTTAAGTGCGGCCTTTTGACTGAATCCAAATTTTACAGAACACTTTTATTAAAAGGGGTGCAACAGAGAAAGATGAAGTTTTTCTTGTCTCCTTTGGTGCTTAAAAAAAAAACGATCTTGAAATCAGAAGGCTGCAAGTTCCCCACCCCTGAATGGGGTCTGATATTTATTATTAGCTTTCCTTATAGTCTAATACTCCATCCCACTGAAAACCATCACTGCTTACAACTAACCATGGATGTGACCATTTATGATGTGACCAAAACTACCAACAACACAGACACCTTTGCCAAAGCAAATACTATCACTTTCACCTAGATTCTACAATCCAGTAAAATCCAAGAATTGGTGGAGAATCATTTTTAGGATGCTGCACTTGATTATACTTTGCACTTTATTATTTGCTGTAATCCCTAATATGAATATAGTTCACTACTCGGTACTAACTAGCCACAGTCCAACAGGACAACCTTACCGCTCCTTCCAATACCAACTGCCAGGGCACATGAAGAAGGCGTGTGGAGCAGGAACAGGCATGGGAAGGTCTCAGGATTGACAACTGAGGAGGTTGTGATTGTGGCTCTGTCAACGTAAGCATGAAACTACGATGATGGGAGTCACGATTCTAGTCTATGCTGGGTTTGCCAACCTACATATGGAGGACCACATTCCAACTCGGATGTCACTTCTTAAGTGGAATATGGACAAAGTAATTCATGTGGAAGATGAGCTGGGGAAAAAGACCCAAAACCACACCTTCTTCAGGAAGAATGAGGAAAAAACTGAGACTTCTCATTTTGAAAACAAGAATTCTTACAAGCAATGCAAAAGGACTTTTTTCAAACACAGATGGTCCCCAGCTTAGGATGGTCTGACTTATAATTTTTTTTCACGATGTGTTTATGTGGATGCAACCCCATCACAAGTCCGGGAGCATTTGGAAGTACATCTACTCTATTCACACGCCTGACAAAAGCCAGACCAGGGCTACACGGATGGAGGCAATGCCTACTAAATACACAAAAAAGCTAACAACCGGAATTGCCAATAATGAAATGAGCCCTTTCTTAGAACACCCCAGCCAAGTCCCAGTGGAGACACAAGCAGGGGTGAGGCCAGGGGGTGAAGGCACGGACCTCAACAGCTGAATCCCATTAACTCTCAGGTCCCCTCTCACCTGAGCATGTGGCTCTATTTCCCCCAAGCAGAGCCACGACAATTTCTAATTTGTTTAAAGGCACCTCGGCTTCACAAATTCCTGCAGGACATTCTACCGCACGCCCAGAATGGAGCTGCTTAGCCATTCCTTCGCGAGAAGAAAAAAGAAAACTATTCCAGGCACACGAGTAAAGAGGCCTAGGGTAGATATTTAAATGACTTATTCGAGGTGCAACGCTGGAGCAAACACGGATCCGAGAGGCACATCCCTCTCGCAAAAACAAAGGCGCCAAGCGTAGGCAAGTCTCCTTCCTCAACTACCGAGGATGTTTCTCACATGCCTTAATTTAAGTCCCAACGCTCTGCTCCAATTCTTAGTGGCTCCAAAGCGCTGCGGGGACTGGGGGCTATTTTCTGAGAAACTCTGTCATCTTCCGAAAAGGTCCAAGGTAGAATTTGTTCTGAACCTTAACTCTTGACTTGCCTTAGCGCTAATCGCAAACGTCTCCTACTTAGTAAGTCAGGGACCAGCTGCACGTCTGGGTAAGAAGATCCCAGGGTGTGAGCAACGGGCGCCGGGAGAGACCGACGGGAAAGCGCGAGCGCTCGGAAGGCCAAACGGGGGGCGGAGAGGAAGGGGGCAGGGGCCCCCAGGACGAGTCGGGGCGCTCGGTGACCGGAGACGGGAGAGGGGCCGGAGAGGAGGGACGCGGCCAAGGGGAGACACCGCCCGCCCGCCGCAGGCCGGGCCGAGGGGCGGCAGCGGCGGCGGTTGTACCTCGGGGCTCGGCCGGCCCGCGGGTTCGGGCCGCCTGGGCAGCGACCGGCAGCTCCTCGGGCGCGTCCCTCGCGCGTCCTCGTCCCGGGGGCGCCGCGCCGACCTCCGCCGCTGTAAACATCCGCCGCCGTGCCTGCGCCTGCGCGCGCAACTGCCCGACTGCGCGTGCGCTGCGGCTCTGGCGCTTAAAGGGGCGACGGCGCCGCCAGGTGGGCCCGACCCCGCCTGGCGGTCCGACCCCGCCTGGCGGTCCGCGCCCGCCGGCTCCGCGGCTCGCTCGCGGCCTTCCCGGCGGGGGTCCCCGTCGTCGTGCGCGCGGTCGGCGCAGTGCTCGAGCGGGCGGGTGGCCCCTGCGCGGGCTGCCTGTGAAGTTGGCGGAGGGGCTGTTCTGTGTCTCAAAAGTGATGGTGGCCGTGTTCGGGTCCCCGGGGTGCCGGGTTCGGGGCGGGCGCTCTCCTCGTGCTGCCGCCTCGGCCGCCCGGCCTCCCTGCTCCGCCACCTCGGTGCCGGGGCCGCGTAATCCCTTTGGACCACCTGCCCCGCAAGCTTTGTGAAATCGGCCCTGCCCGAACCTCGCACGGGGCTGTCCAAGTGGGCTTCGGCAGCGGGACCCTCTTGGAGCAGAGTCGCAAGCCATCCCGCATGCGCGGCAGGCACACGCGTCGCCGCCGGGGAGGAGCGGCCTGGGTCTCCCCTCCCCCGCTTCCTCCGGCGCCCACGTTCCTCTCCAGACCCCGGGCTCCCGGCCCGGTGCCTGCACCGCCGCCTGTGGTCCGGGGCGAGCTCGCTTCTCGGACACACAGCCCTGACCCCGCGACCCTGTGGGTTGCCCACCAACCTCACGACCTGCACACCGGCTCGCAGCACCCTTCCTACCTCACAGCCTGTGGTGCCTGCGACCATGTCGAACGACAGAGGCCCTGGAGCTACCCTTGGCCCCCTCCCGCTGTCAGGGGACCCCGGCTCCGTGCGTCCCTCCTGTCCTGCCCCGGCTTCCCAGCCCTCTCGCCACCCCTCCCGCCACTGCCTGGGCTAGGCTGATGGCCCCCCTGAAACACAAGCTGATCCATCTGATCAAACACTGCTCTGTTCTGCTGATGCTCCAACATGGTTCCCCTGCTCCCCTCCACGTCAGCTCCCACCACTAGCATTCGCCTTCGTAGGGTACCGTGCTAAGCACTCCATGTGGGCGCTTCTGTGAAATAGGGACTGGTCTTACCGCCAAGGAGAAAACGGACAGCAGGAGACAGCCTGGCGCTCACAGCAAGGCTATGGCGTTCTCCTGTTGGACATAAACAATCTTGTAGGGAGGAGCACCATCGTGATACAGGGAGACAAAACATGGCCACGTCGTAGTATTGTCTAAGCACAGACAAAAACAGGGTCACTGTGCCACCCATGATGTCCCAGACATGCCCTCTCCGGGCTAGTAGCAAAGACCCCTGCTCTGCCATCAGCCACAGCTGAGCCTCCCTCTGCCCTGGCCTCTTCATAGATAAGATTCGCTGAGATGCCCAGTCAGAGAACTACCCTCCAATTCCTGATGGCATCCAACCTGTGAAAAAAATCACCCACCCCAAGCCCACATCCTTTAGTTTTTTCAATACCTCTTACTGGGATGCCCTGCAGTTCCCATGTGTGCGTTCACCCTCACTGCAATGAGTAATAATCCCAACTTGTTCAACTCCAGGTGTGTTCCTGGTGGCCTTTGGCTGGAAGGCATTGACACCTCCATTTTACAGATGAGGAAACCGAAGCTCCAAAGAGGTTAACTGGTTCCTCCAAAGGTGCGTAGTTAGTAGTAAGTACAGGAAAACGGACTAGAATCCAACCACTGTTCCTAACCTTCCTCCAGTCTCCTCCCATGCCCAGCCACAGGGAGTTTTCTTGTTATGTCTTTGGTGTCCCCCTGCGCAGACGTCTATCCCCGAGCACCTCTCTATTCATGGTTGGCATATCTGGAGGAGGAGTCTCCAGACAGAGGATTGATCACGCAAATGCCTGAGCAGGGGAACACCAGGGTGTCTGAGGAGCATTGAGTACCTAGAGGGAGGTTGTGTTGTCATCTTCAAAGTACAGTACTAAGACTCCTTTTGGTTCAGCTAGCCTTTTTCTATAGTCCTTTTTTTTTTTAAATTCTGGTCAAATATACATAACATTTACCATTTTAACCATTTTTTAAGTGTACAGTTCCGTGGCGTTAGGTACATTCACATTGTTGTACAACCATCACCGCTATCGTCTCCAGAATTTTTTTCATCATCCCTTACTGAAACTCTGTATCCATTCATGCTAAAAACTCTCAGCAAACTATTAATAGAGGAGAACTTGATCAACATGATAAATAAAATCTACAAAAAACCCACAGCTAATATCATACTTAATGGTGAGAAATTGGATACTTTCTCCTTAAGATCAGAAATAAAGCAAGACTGCCCCCTCTCACTACTCCTAGCTGATTCAATAAGGCATGAAAAGGCAAAATAAGATATACAGATTTGGAAGGAATAAATAAAAGTCTTTATTCACAGATTACAAGGTTGTCTATGTATTCTATCCCAAAAAAATCTACCCAGAAAAGTCCTGAAACCAATAAGTGAATACAACAAGGCTGCAGGATACAGTAGGTCCCCTTTAGCCTTGGGGGATATGTACCAACTCCTACAGTATATATAGGGATGCCCAAAACTATGGAAAGTACCAAACCCTGTGTATACTATTTTTTCCTATACTATAATAAAGTTTAATTTATAAATTAGACATAGTAAGATATTAACAATAACAATAATAAAATAGAACAATTATACCAATACCCTGTAATAAAAATTATGTGACTGTGGTCTCTCTTTCGGCTGCTAAGTGACTGATGGGCAGGTAGAGTATACAGTGTGGATACTCTGGACAAAGGGATGATTCACATCCTGCGCAGGATGGGCAGGATGGCATGAGATTTCATCACATTACTCAGAATGGCACATAATTTAAAACTTATAAATTGTTTATTTCTGTAATTTTCAATTTAGTATTTTTAGATTGTTGTTGTTGACTGCGGGTAACTGAAACCATGGAAAGCGAAGCCGTGGATGGGGATGGGGGCTACTGTGCAAGATTAACATACAAAAGTGAATTGCTTTTCTATATATCAGCAATGCATAATTGTAATTTAAAATTTGAAACGCAATATTATTTGCAGTAGGACCAAAAAATGAAATACTTAGGTATAAATCTAACAAAACAAGTACAAGGTCTATATGACAAAGGCTACAAAACTCTGATGAAAGAAATCAAAGAAGATCTAAGTAAATGGACAGATATTGCATGTTTATGGGTAGGAAGACTTAAGTTCTTCCCAACTTGAGCCTATAGATTCAATGCAACTCTAATCAAAATCTCAGCAAGTTATTTTGTGGATATGAACAAACTTTTTCTTTTTAACTTTATATGGGAAGGCAAAAATCCAGAACAGCCAACAAAATATTGAAGAAGAACAAAGCTGGAGGACTGACACTACCTGGTTTCAAGACTTACTATGAAGTTACAGTAGTCGAGACAGCATGGTATTGGCAAAAGAACAGACAGATAGATCGATGGAGCTGAACAGAAAGCACAGAAACAGACCCACACAGATGTAGTCAACTGCCCTTTGTCAAAGGAGGAAAAGCAATTTAATGGAGAAAGGACAGACTTTTCAACAAACAATGCTGGGACAATTGGACATCCACATGCAAAAAACATGAATCTAGACACAGATCTCATAATTTTCACATAAAAGTTTTAGGAGATAACATAGGAGAAAATCTAGATGACCTTGGGTTTAGTGATGACTTTTTAGACAAATCAAACACACAATCCATGAAAAAAAAATGGGTATGTTATTTTCATTAAAATTAAAAACTTCTGTTTATGAAAGACACTATGAAGAGAATAAAAAGATAAGCCACAGATTGAAAGAAAATGTTCACAAAACACGTATCTGATAAAAGACTGGTATCCAAAATATACAAAGTACTCTTGAAACTTAACAATAAGAGAACAACAAAATTTTTAAATGGGCAAAAGATCTGAACAGATGCCTCAGCAAAGATATACAGATGGCAAATAAGCATATAAAAATGCTAATCGTATGTCATTAGGGAATTGCAAATTTAAAAAAGCAAGGTGATACTACTACACACCTATTAGAATGGCCAAAATCCAAAATGCTGACACCACCGAATGCTGACAACAATGTGAGGCAGCAGGAACTCTCACTCACTGCCGGTGGGAATGCAAAATGGTACGGACACTTTGAGAGATACTTTGATAGTTTCTTACTCAGCTAAACATCGTCTTACCTTATGATCCAGCATTTGTGCTCCTAGGTATTTACCCAAATGACCACTATATACACACGAAAACCTGCACATAGATATTTATAGCAGCTTTATTCACAATTCACAAACTAGAAGCAACCAAGGTGTCCTTCAATAGGTGAATGAATGGATAAACAAGCTGTGATCGTCCATACAGTGGAGCATGCATCAGTGATAAACAGAAAAAACAATCGAGCCACGAAAAGACACGGAGGACATTTACATGCTTGTTGCTACATGAAAGAAACCAGTATGAAAAGTCTGTGTTATTCCAACCATGTGACATTCTGGAAAAGTAAACTTGGGTGGAAGAGGCCAGTAGGTGCTCATGGCGCAAGCGGAGGAAGATTAACATATATATGCAAAAAGTTTATTTTATCCTTTAGAAGGACACAGAGCCCACGTAGCTCGCTGACTTTAAGGGGAAAGAAGACAAAAAAAATAGCAATGGCTGTCAGTTGATAACAAAAGTGGCAGCAGGTAGATAACAAAAACTGTGGGGATTTCAAAGTCCAAGACTTGGTTTCCTGCCCTTCCTTGGAGAAGGGATTATCGCTGCAGATGTGACTCTGACCTAGAGATATGGTTGAGGCTGTAGCTCGTTCTTCTGCTGTTTACTTAGGAACTCTGTGAAAGCAGATTCTCAAACAAAACAAAACAATTTTGAAAGAGAGAGATTTACATCTCTTTTCTGTCCATTCAGCTTTCTTCAGAAGTTGTGCAAAACAGAACTCCTGCAGAGTGTCTGCTAGAGAGAGAACTCATAGGGTTGATCTTTAACTGTTACTGGGGAAATCGTAGGAT